AGTTCAACACATGCTCAGTACGTTCCGATCACGTGAATCGCAGCAGGAGACCCTGATGGTGCCTGGAATTCACTTATGGTCAGCCGCGAAATCTTGGAACCAGGTCACTCTCGCATCGGGTCACTTCAAAGTTCACGGGCCCTTGGCTCGTGGGTGGAAGAGAGGATAAGGAGAGAAAGAATTTGGGAAAAGAAAAGAAGGATATGGCTGATCATAGAATATATTCGCTCGCGAGTCGGAAGCATTGGATTAAATTTCTATTTTTATTTATTAATTTATTTATTTATTCTTCTTTTATATCTTACTAATTTTATCTTTATTTAAGATTTTACTTTAGCCTAACGCCTATATGGTTAATGAAATCGTGGCTACGTGACAATATATATATATATATATATATATATATATATATATATATATATATAAGGCTCAAACACATAATCACGATCAATTCATCAAAACCTACATTTGTAGGTCTGGTGAATTGTATCGTGATTACGATTCTAATGTAATAAATTATAACCATGGAATATTAGTGTTTGAGTCTTTTATATTATATTCTTACTCTGTCCTGGACATTGAGTTCTACCTGGATTCTATCCTCTTGGGAATTTATGTATATATATATATATATATATATATAGAGAGAGAGAGAGAGAGAGAGAGAGATTTATATATATATATATATATATATATATATATATATATATATATATTTATTTTAAAAAATAAACTCTCGATACTTCATAACTTAATTACCTCCCTTAAGTGTTACTTAGCTCATTGTACTAACACAGCGTTCTTTACCTCACCAGTAAAAACACTTTAATTTTCAGATGAACACAGCAATTTTGTCTTTTAAAATATATTTGTCTTGATAAAAAAAACAACAGCCTGATGCTATTGTCGAAAGTACTCGAAATACATAACATGTATCAACACGGTAATGTTCCTCTTCCTTTAATAATTACATCAAAAACTTATCTGTGAAAATGAAAGGATCCAATTGAAAATATGTAGAGAAAACTTACCTAAATTATTCAGTGAAACATGTCTCTATATATATATATATATATATATATATATATATATATATATATATATATATGCAATATGACCGCAGCAACTAAGAAGGATGATAACAAAGAGAAAGCATTGCCTCAAACTCAACGCCGGTATACTAAATTCCATGAGGTTTAGTTTTTGTCAACTAACAAGGATATCATAATTGATACCATCGCATTGATTACTGCCCCATACCACCGTCGCCATTGAGCCATGGAAGATTGCGCTTTGTGAAGGTCTCCGTTGAGTAAATGAAGACTTGTGCCGGAATTCTGAAGCAGATTGCTGAGTTCATATGTGGAGGAGATTACATGAGGTTACAATTCCAGACGGTTAGCATAATGTTCTGCAATCTAATTTGTAATCGTTTTTATATTTGCATTATTTACCCTCAAAATATTGTCCTCATTTTTGTTTTTGTTGTTGTTGTCATCACAACCTTTCAACCGTTATGCTATCCGACCTTCATCAGGTTGTTGATCCAAGTAATCTCTTATCATATCATGCGTTGGTGACCCAGAATTGATTCAAGTGACATTCAGCTGCCTTCCAGGTAGTTCATTGGCCATCAAAGCTTACCAGATTCAAACCTCATTGCGCATGCATTCCTTGCAATTCCTCGCAGCCACACCCACGACATAGAACTCGATTATAGACAGACATGAAATTTGCCTGAATAGATATAAATACTCATGTGACTGATCCATTATTTCCTAGATTCTATGTTATGGCCCTTAGCCGTTGTAATTCAGGCAAGAGGTGAAGATTTTCGATAATCACTTTATACATGTATATATGGCTCCGAAATCAAATGATTCCCAATGCATTATCTTGTCCTACGACATCAGAAGCAGATGTATGGAAGTAGGGGTTGAACCTTCTAAAAAATAATCCATATTTTTTGACTTGTTATGGAGACAGACAGATATATTCTGAGCTCGTTGACGATTTCATATTCGTCCATTCTTTGTGATATTTCGATGACCTTCATCCTCTTCTCCAAACTCAATCTCTCCGTGTTCACATTTAAATCAACTACAGCAAAAAGTCAAGTTGAAGTGTTCAAAACTTATGCAATTTGTGTTTGTTCTATTTGACATGAGAGATTTGCGTGACCTCATTTCAGCAGCATTATGCATTCAGATCTATATCTGGTTTTGTACTGTGTCAATGGGAATTCATTAGTGTGACAGATACTACTCGTGAAAATACATTGTGGAATATTTACAGTTCCTTAGTAAAAAATAAATAAACAATTTTTTTTTGTTCGCCTCTTGTATTTATTTTCTGTGCTGACAAACTCGGTATTTCTGGCAGCAGATCTTTCAGGTATTCAGTCGATTTGTCGTGTATTGAAAATAAGGAAGATATATACCACCAGGAATGGAAGCAGACTAAAAGAATGGTGTTAATATATTTCTAATTACTATTTGGCACCTCGTCATTATGGTTCAAATTAATTCTCTCTTTAATTTGGTTATAAATTTATTTAATAAGATAATTCAAGTCTTCTTAAAACCTACATTTCTTTTTAAATGATTGCATTTATATAATTAAGAGCTAAACAGAATCGACGGAAGTTGGAAAACTAACAAAATATAATGGTAGCTCGTATGCCCGTCTACTAGGATAGTTAACCAATCCCTGTTGAAGACACCTGCTCAGGCACATTTGTGTTTGTTCAACACCCATAGATTCCACTTGTGGTTTATACTGCAACTATGTTGAGTGGACCTTAGTTACAAAGAGAGAACGCATTATCTCGTGTAATCGACAATCTGAACAAGGCCAGTACACTCAAACTCTCGGTCACAATGACTTGTGATTGCGTGCTATTACATCCATCGACAGCTCCCAAAATTTAACTCGCAAAGCTTGGTTCAACCCATGGTATAAGTTTTCAAGGTTTCCTCAGGCCGATAACATCAACATGAGATAAACCATAATGAGAATCGAACCCGGACTCATGGTCGGAAAGCGAACGTTCTAGCCACATTAACAGAATATATAGAAATTCCATGAGGTTTAGTTTTTGTCAACCAACAAGGACACATCATTAGTGATACCATATATAGAACAATGATCATTATATAAATCTGTACGCTTGGACAGCAAGTCCTTACTGAGTGTTCCATACTTTCGGCTTTGCAGCGCAGCTACACAGTAAATCACTCTATAGCGATTTTCCAACCGTAGCTTAGATGTGGCACAATGCCGAACGTAGGGGGCACCCAGTGAGGATCGAAGTCACTACTCAGTCGTAATTATTCTAGCAAGACAAGTGTGCTAACCATTACACCGCCACGAGGTGCCCAAGTAAATCACTATATAAAGTTGTATATTTTACATTCTTTGTCTTTGTTCATTCTCCTTTCAATCCATAGAAATTTAGGATAATTTTATGATTTGCAGAAATGGACATCATCAAGCTTTTTTCTTTAATCAATTGGTTGATGTTTTAAACTGGAAGTTGCAAAGCAGTTAACACTGATTAAGAGAGGGGACGTTTTTTATTAACTTTTCAGATCTCCGAATTCATTAATAATTTATTAATTCGTTTTCTACGGCTTATCAACCCTTTGCAGTCTAAGCCAGAAAATATATTTTTTACATTGTAAGATTTTTTTTTTTTTTGTTATAATAATGGTTTATTAATGTTTTTTGTTTGTTTCATTTCGTTTATCGGCATATGATTCTGTATGGATTATTTAATGCCGAAATTTAAATATCTTGAACACAATTCCATGGCCTCGGCTACTTTTAACATAATTTTATGCCTTAAACTAAAATGTATTGCTAGCCATTTTACATTAAAATTGTATTTTTGGTAATTTTACTATAAATATGTATTTTTATATAATCGTCATTTTTTTTGTTTGTTTTTTTTTTTTTTTTTTGTGGCGGGGGGAGGTTACTATTTGCCCATAGCTGCGATGCTAATATATGCTAGCAACTCGAGTCAAGGTGGATCTGATAAACAACAACAGTTAAGAGGTGGTTGCACGCTCCTCAAAACCTTCAATCACCCGATCAGAGTCCTTGCTGCCAGATGTAGTTTATCGTCATACCCAGAACTAGGTTTATTGATAGAGGTTATCCAAATTTATTCAAACTACTCTGTTTATAAATTTCGCGCTCTTCACCAGAGTTCAATCAACAAAGAGTAATTACTATCGTTGGTTCAATCTTGCACACTTTTATGATTGTTTGAATAGATTGTCTTATTTATTTGGGTTTGACAAGAACCTCCTTCGCAGGATTAGAGACACTTTCTGATAAGATCATGGTGTACAAATCTACTTTTTTATGTTACTTATTGTTGTAGAGTGGTTTTCACAGTGGAGGCTTGTATTTCAATAAGTCGGTCCTAAAAAGGGTCCGACGTACAAAACGTTAGGAACTTGAAATAAGAGTTAATGAGGCAGCAATCTAGTTGTGATGGTTGATACTACAATGTCCGACATCGACTGACTCACTCAACACCACTGAGCCCAACTGGCGACCGCTACTACTACTACTACTTATTTTGTGTGGGAGAGTCTATTAATAATAGAATAGGTATTATGGTATAACACTTATGCGAGTCGATATTTAATTCATGCGAGTTTTTGTTCGTGTCAGAATTCCTTCTCAAGCTACTATCTTATATGAAATTGCAAAAAGTCCTGGAGATGTGGTTAAGTTGGTTGCTTTTCTTTAGCGGCATGTCAATTTCTATCTTATTTAATACCGAAACTTAAATTTTAATTTTTGTACTTTTTTTTTTAGATAATAATGGTTTTAGTACTACAAATTTTACTATTTAACCCATAAATTGGAGGAAGAGATGAATTCCTACCTTTCCTTAGGGTATGTGTGCGTAAATGATTTTAAGGAACCCAACTGGATCTGGAACATTTCGAGCCATTATCCATTAAACCACCCGTACATTCAAGCTTACAACATCTGGTATTCCCAAACAGTAACCCATCTAGATACTGACCAGGCGTGATGTTGCTTAACTTCGGTGATCGTACAGGAAGCAATGTTTTAACGTGATGTAGCCGCAAGCCGCTACAGTTGTATTTCTGAAGAAGTTTTATTTACTTAAATTCTAAATTTTTACGCTTCAAATGATTTTCTAAACAATCCGTTCATTAACACCCCTCCCCGTTTATTGTATACTGAGGAAAATTCTAACCTTCACACTATTATTAAGTCTCCTACACCCAGTATTATGTTCCTAAGCGTATATTTATATACAGACTTTGAAATGACTTAAATAAATTGGCCCACTCATAAAAAATAGGGAAAAATCTTTTTTAGATAATTTTTTTTTAGATTCGCCTTCTTTAGACTAGGACATTTATCAGAATCGAAAAAATATTGATTAGTGATCGATTTAGAATCGGGGTCCTGTTTATAATCGTGATACACTGTGAAACTTGTTTTTGAAACTGTCACACTTTCGTCATCGTGATTTTTAAAGTGTTATGAGATTTTTACAAAATACTGCCGGAATTGTTTATTTGGAACGTTTTTTTATCTTTTATCAACACTTTTAACCAGAAACATATTTTGGATTGTAAGGTTATTTCTTTTTCTTTGTTTGCGAGCGAATATTGTATTAATTTTTTTTTCTTTTTTGAGAATAACAATGATTTTTCCAGGTACAAGTCCTGTTATTTAACCCAGAGCTGAAGTTGCGAAGAATATTGGTACAGAAGTGAATATAACGAACCCGAATGGAATTACACCAACCTTATATCCACTTTTACAACAGAACAAATGCATATATATCTTCCATGTGTTTTCTTTTAAGAAAATAACCTTAAACAATAAGAATTGTCTAACGAAATAGATTTCACTTTGTGGAATAGGGTAACAAAAATTTGTCATTAAAGGACAAACATATATACATTTTTAATTAAAGAACAGAAAATTCTTCAATCATTTACGATGAGTAGTTATTATTAAAGGAGGGGGAAAATTACAAATTTACATAAATTAATAAAAGTGTATATCCTTTTGCTTTCTTCTTCATTTAAGATAAATAATTAATATAACCCCAATATTCATTTTTTAAAAATTAAAAAAAAACTTTTAAAGATTCTGAAAATTAAAAAAATACGCAGATATCCATGACGTAAAAGACAATTTCAAACAAGACATTTGGAAACAAACAGCCTGCTCATTCCCTGTAAGTCTTCAAAGTCAGGGATAGATTTCAATAACATTATTACAGTTGTAACTCAATTATAAAAAGGACCGCCTCTTAAATCGATAATTAATGAATTTTTTTTTTAATTCTAACAAGCTCCTTAGCCTAAGGAAGGTCGAACGAATGCTTATCTGCAAAAATTATTTCCCAAAACAATTTTCCCTATTTTTTACGAAAACTGCAATCTACTTAAGTAGCGCTCAGATATTATTTCACTTCGGAGTTGATGGGAAATAATCTAAGGGGAATAACTCTAACGCATTATTTTAAAATGAGATTATTTCCCTTTATACATTCTCATATTTGTTTTATAGGGTTTTTAGAAGACTGTGTGACATGAACACAGAAACCGTTACCGCAAATTGAAACATCCCAAAACTATGTGATGTGCATCACTATAATGCGCAAGCTGATAGACAAAGTGAAAATAACTAACCTTAGAAATGTAACCAATTTACCTCCACTCTTTGGTACTCCCCGTACAGTGACGTGTAGAGGTTTGGTGCTGCCGGGGAGCCAACTATTTGATTGTATCCCCCTAAGTTTCAAGTAGAGGACCTTTAGGGTCTAGTACTGAGAAATGTGAGAAAGGAAAACATTTGAAACATGGATTAGGACCTTGCATAAGTTCTCGCTGATCTTTCATAAAAAGCAATGTCTTATTTACAAAAATGAGTAAGAAACATGTAACTGAAAGTATTTTCCATCGCTAACCGCTACGTTTTCCCATCTTTCTGGAAGCGTTTGAATTCCACGTCGGAAAAACGACACGTCTTTTGAGGCTAACCCTTCGAGTCGACCCATTTTTGTCATCTTCATAAGAATAAGTTATTATTTAAGCTTGTAATTGCTTTTTATGAATAAGATATTAGGACCTTGCATAAGTTCTCGCTGATCTTTCATAAAAAGCAATGTCTTATTTACAAAAATGAGTAAGAAACATGTAACTGAAAGTATTTTCCATCGCTAACCGCTACGTTTTCCCATCTTTCTGGAAGCGTTTGAATTCCACGTCGGAAAAACGACACGTCTTTTTGAGGCTAACCCCGAGTCGACCCATTTTTTGTCATCTTCATAAGAATATTAAAGCTTGTAATTGCTTTTATGAATAAGATATTAGGGCCTTGCATAAGTTCTCACTGATCTTTCAAAAAATGTGCCATTTACAAAAATGATTGGAACAAGTATTTTCCATGATAATACGTTTCCCATCTTTTGGAAGCGTTCAATGTCTGCGTTTTTTGAGGAAAACGGCGACCCATTTTTTGGTAAGGACTTGCCCCGATTGGAACAATTGATAATAGGATTTTCAATGTCTGGTGAAAACGGCGGGTGGGGTAGGACTTTTTTCGCGTTTCCAAGTAGGTTTTTTCGCCCATTTTGCAACATGTGGCCTTGCGTTGTCATGTTGCAAAATCACTTTGTTGTGTCTCTGCTCGTATAGCGGTCGTTTTTATTAAATGCTGGACTCAAACGCATCAATTGTAGTCGATGGCAGTCTCCAGTGATGGTTTCAGTCGGTTTGAACAGCTCATAATAAACTACATCCAGCTGATCCCACCAAATACAGGGCAGAAGCCTCAAACCATCGATATTTGGCTTTGACAAAGATGTTGATGCATGGCCGAGCTTACACCACGATCTTCTACGCTTAGGGTTATCGTATCTACTTTTCATCGCAAATCACGATACAATGCAAAAAAAAACTTTCCTTTTCTGCCGTTGAAGCGGCTATTCACACGTGACAAGACGCCGTTCGACGTCTCTTGGCTTCAATTCGTACGGCACCCAATGTCCTTGATTTTGAATCATTCCTAATGCTTTCAAACGTTTCGAAACTGTTGTGTGATTAACTCCTAATGATTCTGCAAGTTCAGCCTTCATAATGTAATACCTCCAATTCTTTGTCTTCAAACTTTTTCGGTACGTTCTTTATCTTCAACATCAAAATCATTATTTTTGAAGCCTCTAAACCAATCTCTGCATGTTGTTTCCGACAGATCATAGTCGCCGTAAGTCTCAACAAGAATTCTCTGTCCTTCAGCTGCAGATTTCTTTTGAATAAAGTAACGCATTAACATTTCCTGCCAATAGACTTTCTTTGGAACGGAATCCGACATGTTTCACGCTATGAAAAACAAGGTTGTTTCCACTTCGGCAAAATGACATACACTGAATTTCAAGCTTGCTTATAGTACTTCCTTATAGATGCGTTATCATCTGTAACTACAGGCAAGCAGTTATAGGAACGCCATCTGTTGGATAACAGCGAGAACTTATTCAAGGCCCTAATAAAAATAGATGAAACGTGAAATAAACACTTTATTCAAATTAAATATAAACTAAAGGTTTATTTCACTCTTTGATTGGATGCCCTCCCGATATGGAAGCCCGAGGTCATCGCACCTTCTGTCCGCCCCCCCCCCTTCTGCACACTACCGCCTCTGAGGTAATTCTTGAAAATATTTGGATACATTAAAAGATCTCGTGTCGGACTTGCTACTTTGTATCTTTAGGGTATGGTGGCTGGAAAAAAAGAAGTAGAGGAAAGGCAAGAAAATAAGTGGAGGGATAATATTCTGTGGCCGCCAACTAATGAATGGCAAACACTAAAGACGGCAGCTGAAGATCGTGAGAAATAAGTCATGTTATTTCGCAATCTACCACAGGCGGAAAGAGCAAATAATGATGATCCCTTGCATTGGCAAAAGTATTTGCTGCTGCAGCAGCAGCAGCACCACCAACAACAACAACAACAATTGAAAACACGCAGACACATTTTACATAGATAAAGCCCTTCGTAAGGTGTGAGCTGTACTCGTGAGAACAATTTTTAGAATTTCTTTAAGGCATGGGCTCCCAGAAATCCATTCACTAAGTCTATTAGAATCTTTTCCCGCCAATTCAAGGGCTCCAACTACAACGGGAATTGTTTATGTTCCCATGTGCCACATTTTTGAGATTTCGATTTCAAGGTCCTTGTAATTTGATAATTTTTTGAAGATCTTCAAAGATACGTTGCAATCTACAGGGACTGCCATATCAATAAAGAGGCACATTTTTTTCCGTCTCTCTAATCACGATGTCTGGGTGATTATCTTTGATTGTTCTGTCTCTGTGTATTCCCATAAAATTGTTACAGGTCCTATCTTCGTATTATTACTATTATTACGGTTGTTGTTGTTGTTATTGTTTGTGTTATGTTTCCTGCTTTGTATCCTGTAGAGCCGGGTCCAAACTATGGTCCTTAGGCCCTATAGAAGGATTGTCATTTAATTGATAGCACTTTTCTTAATATATGGGATGTTCCTAGTAGAGCGATTTTCTGGGCAAATTGTATGTTGATGTTACCTTGGACACTGTTAGCAAAATCGTCCATTCCTTTTCTCTCAAATTATTATTATTATTATTGTTGTTGTTGTTGTGATTTCTATTGTATACATATTTAATTTCAAGTCCCAACAAGAGAACTAACATCGGAAATGGCATCGTGACATTTTCCACTGATCATTTTTGTAAAAAACAAAAACAAAGATCACACACATTTTACATAGATAAAGCCGTTCGTAAGGTGTGAGCTGTACTTGTGAGTACAATCGTTTTTAATTCTTCAAGATATGGGCTTCCAGGGAACCCGAACAACGTGTCTATCGGAATATTTTCCATTTAATCCGAGGGCTCCAACTACAACTGGAATTATTGATGTCCTTATGTACTACATTTTTAGATTTCCACTGAATTCAATAATAGGATCGCCTGTGTTTACTCACTGGCGATCTATGTTCAAACTCAAGTGTCGGCAGCGACACTTTATTCCTATATAACACACATTTAAGCCATCCAGTCATC